GGCCGTTGCTGTTACAATGAAGTGAAAGTCACTTAACGGCTTATAGTGTTTGTTTACATTGTATCAATTACTTCAAGAACAAAGTCAATTAACTTGTTTGTAAGTTTTACATAGTAATAAAGTATCTTTCACAGAATAGATATAATCAATGGTTTCTACAGACAGTAGCTTACAAGTTTTAACAGAAGACCCAAGAGATTTTTGTACTTGGTGAAACTGTTGGATTTTAAAGTGTGGGGGACAAATTATAAGGGGGTCACCGTCACTTGGGGGAATCACTGTTAGTACCTTCTTTAATATCCCTAAAAGGGGACATGTGTCCATGCTGATGACTGGTTCTATTCAATAACAATCCAAAGCAGTGTGGGACTGACGCATATTCATTGTCATTATCTGAGTCATATACCAACAGCAGAAGGTTGATTTTCTTTTTTGGTGGTTCGGGTTCTGTAGTTTTTGTATCGGAACGTTGCTTTTTTAAGACTTCTGAAAGGATGCTCCACATCTCGTCCCTGTCAGATTTTGGAAGGCACTTCAGATTCTTCAACCTTGGGTCGAGTACTGTAACTACTTAGTGTTTTGTAAATTCACACTAAAACTAAATGGCAGACATATAATTGTGAGTATATGAAGTGTTTGCAATGAAATCCAAACCTACCCTATTTTGGTATCATTACTAACTTGAACCTCTGACCAACAATGTCAAAAGCTTTGCTAAGGGATTTGGGAATGTGGGCCAATTTACAGATTTACATCAGTATGAGGTGAAATACAGTTGCAGTTTGAGATTCTTGTTCCATACTGTTCCTAAAAACCCGAAAGCAAAACTCAGGTTATGGGGGAAAGGAGATGAACCTGTATGGGTTGAAAGACTAAAACTGAAGAAATCATTCAGGTCAAATTGCAGAGTTTTGTGCAACTCCTGTAAGGATACACTCCTTTGAAACACCACAGTGAATCAATAATACAGCTTAAAGAATAAACAGCTCCTTAACTGTAGTTAGAGGTTTGTGAAGTCTCTCTCAAAATTTACTACTTTGGTAGAATTTGTCTGTATTCACTTATGCTTTTCCTAATCAGAAGTTTTGGGGAAAGAATACTAAGAAGTAAGGTGATGGAGCAAAGTGATTCAGAAATATTAATTATTTCATTAGGGTAAAATTGTTGAAATACTAATGACATTTATCATCTTACAACCATTCAATGCCATTTCTATGCTTTATCTGACCATTTCTTATATTGACTGGGCATTAAACGATACAAGATATTTTGACTTGGAAAAGGACTGCTAGATATATTTTCCCTGATGGTTTCAGATACTGTTACAGTTTCTCTAGCACTGACCGTTTTAACTGCTGCCTGTGGCACTGGAGTTTCATTTGTGATCTGTGAGCACTGGCAGCTGACATCACAGATTCAGTGACAACAAATACATCAAAAACAGAGCTTAAGCAACTCTTGCTTCTGAGTTATTCACTTTGCCAGAACTGGGCTATGCCCTATCCATTTTTGTTTTGTGCATTCTATGTTTTGTGCCTCATTAAAGAAGAAAAAAACATAATGCATTCTAGGAGTTAAAAGATGTCTCAGTTTGTGAAGAAAACACTTGCAATAAGAAGAAATAGGAAAATCACTGATGTATTCTGTTTGGGTTATAAGGTTCTAGAAAAAGAATGAATCAGTTACTCAATAGTCATTTCACTTACCATTAGCTGGGCATGAATGTATAATAAACGCCATACTATCCCTAAAAGGTACTGGGGCTACCAAGTAGCCTACATCATGGGAATAGTGCACTGCCAGGAGGGAGACCCATCCTGAATTCCTACTCTTATTTTCCTAAGGTTGGAAGTTTATGCTATTGCAGTATGTTTATCTGGGGGAAAGAATGATTATATGAATTACAATAATTATTATGACTATAATTTGGTTTTCTTGCACATATAGGGGAGCAGATCATAAGCCATTGTAAATGGGCAGAGCTCTGTTGACTCCAATGGAGCCAACATCAGTTTACACCAGCTGAGGATCAAACCCTATAGCATTTTGAATTAATGTATGTGGTAATGACTTTTATATATGCAAGAGCTTACCTACACAGGAAAATTGACTAGAATAGCTATTCTGAAACAGCTTCCCATGTGGAAACATTTATTCTGGAATACGAGTGTTCTCACACAGAGCTATTCCAGAATAGCTATTGCACTTTAAATTCATACCATTCTTTATTCTAGAGTAACTTCCCCATGTAAAGAAGCCCCATTAGTTATTGTGGAAATCTTTTTAAATCTCTCCTCAAATGGAAGTCTTTCCATGCCTAGGTTCAGTTTGGTTGCCTCTCTCTGGGCCTTTCTACTATGTCCTTTTTTCAGACGGTGTGACCAAAAATGATAGCCAAGATGAGGACTGCCATTGGTTTAGATAAAGCCCATATAATACTGGCAGCATTACTCTATCCCAATGGTTCTCAAACTGTGGGTCCGGATCCCAAAGTGGGTCATGATCCCATTTTGATGGAGTTGCCAGGGCCAGCATTAGACTTGCTGGGGCTTGGGGCTGAAGCCGAAGCCGAAGCCTGAGTGCTTTAGCACAGGCAGCGGGGCTCAGGCTCTACCTCCCCTCCCCGCCCCAAGGGTCATGTACTAATTTTTGTTTTCAGAAGAGGCTGCGGTGCAACAAAGTTTGAGAACTGCTTCTCTATCCTTTTCTCAATCCAGACTATCATCAGTTTGCTTTTTTGATGGCCGCTATTCACTAAGCAAAGTTTTTCCTTAGGTCTTCTTCTTGAGTTACTGTTAATTTAGAACCTATGTGTACGAGTATGATTGAGGTCTATAAAATCATGGCTGGTGTGCAGAAAGTAAATAAAGAAGTGTTCTTTACTCTTTCTCATAACACAAGAACTAGGAGTCACCAAATGAAATTAATAGGCTGCAAGTTTACAACAAACAAAAGGAAGTATTTCTTCACACAACGCACAGTCAAACTCTAGAACTCTTTGCCAGAGGATGTTATGAAGGCTAAGACTAACAGGGTTCAAAAAGAACTAGCTTAATTCATGGAGGATAGATCCATCAATGGCTATTAGCTAAGATGGGCAGGTCCCTAGCCTCCCAGAAGCTGGGAATGGGCAACAGGGGATGGATCACTGGATGATTAGAATCATAGAAGATTAGGGTTGGAAGAGACCTCAGGAGGCCATTAGTCCATCCCCATGCTCAAAGCAGGACCACGACCAACTAAATCATCCCAGCCAGGGTTTTGTCAAGACAGGTTTTGTAAAAACTTCCAAGGATGGAGATTCCACCACCTCCCTAGATAACCCATTCCAGTGCTTCACCACCCTCCTAGTGAAGGAGTGTTTCCTAATATCCAACCTAGACCTCCCTCACTACAATTTGAGACCATTGCTCCTTGTTCTGTCATTTGCCGCCACTGAGAACAGCCTAGCTCCATCCTCTTTGGAACCACTCTTGAGGTATTTGAAGGCTGCTATCAAATCCCCCTTCACTCTTTTCTTCTGCAGACTAAATAAGCCCAGTTCCCTCAACCTCTCCTCATAAGTCACGTGCCCCAACCCCCTGATCATTTTTGTTGCCCTCTGCTGGACTCTCTCCAATTTGTCCACATCCTTTCCGTAGTGGGGGACCCAAAACTGGACGCAATACTCCAGATGTGGCCTCACCAGTGCCAAATAGAGGGGAATAATCACTTCCCTTGATCTGCTGGCAATGCTCCTACTAACGCAGCCCAATATACCGTTAGCCTTCTTGGCAACAAGGGCACACTGACTCATATCCAGCTTCTCATCCACTGTAATCCCCAGGTACTTTTTCTGCAGAACTGCTGCTTAGCCAGTCGGTCCCCAGCCTGTAACGGTGCATGGGATTCTTCCGTCCTAAGTGCAGGACTCTGCACTTGTCCTTGTTGAACCTCATCAGATTTCTTTTGGCCCAATCCTCCAATTTGTCTAGGTCACTCTGGAGCCTATCCCTACCCCCCAGTGTATCTACCTCTCCCCCCAGCTTAGTGCCATCTGCGAACTTGCAGAGGGTGCAATCCACCCCATCATCCAGGTCATTAAAGATGTTGAACAAAACCAGACCCATTACCTGTTCTGTTCATTCCCTCTGAAGCACCTGGCATTGGCCACTGTTGGAAGACAGGATACTGGGCTAGATGGATCTTTGGTCTGACCCAGTATGGCCATTCTTATGAGTAGTTCACATTGTTCCTTCCAATGCATATTACCAGTGCTTGTTTACATGTAATTTTATTAGAAATCATGCTGCCCAATTATCTAGCTTTCTTAGCTTCTTTTAAAGAGCTTTATAGTATCCTAGATTTGAGTAACCTAAATAAATTTGTTCCCTCTGGAAAGTTTGCTGTCTTGCAGTTCAACCGTCTTCCAGATCATTAATATATTAAATGATACCACTTCTACTTTGCTGGATTTAATTTCTACATATTACTTGAAAAGTGGAAAAGAAAAATCAAAACGAGTAACAAAACTGCATTTGCAAGGAAAAAGTAAAGCTGTCATATTTTAAAATAGATTTTTATAGAAGTTCCATATCCCTCATCAGAATGTTTTGTACTATGAAAACAATTTTCTTCTCTGGAAGAAGAGACGACCCGTTTCATAGAGCTGTTAACATGACCTACACAGAGAGTTGTGCTGACATTTAGATTGAGATATAGCAGAGCTTCCATGGTGACATTGCTGAAGGTTGAACTTGGCATGTTAGATGATATATGTCTATATACCATAGTATTTGAAATGTCTTCTTGTAATAGAAATATCACCTTTAGCATCAGTGACAATTAAGGAACTGTTACTTTAATATGACCCACACAATTATTTGGATATGATTTTTTTTCTATACTTTATCATGACATTTTGTATTTGCTAATATCTGGTATATGTCTGAGAGCAGTTAAAGGACTTTGATAGCATCTTTAATCCAGGGATTTCAAAACTTTTACCTCCTTCACAGGTTTAATTGGAATTTGTTAATCTTCTGAAATGCAGCTGCTTATAGGATGAAACAAACCAACTACCATACAACAGTAGCTGAAAACAGAAAGCACCGGAAAAATCGAACAGTGATACATCCAGTTGATATAAATTGTGGTACGTACATAGGTAATTATCTGAACTGAAATTTGACAATTGAGTTAATATACTTATTTTTAGAAAAAAAAGTTTCATGGGATATTTAATGGCCCCAAGCGTAAGACTCCTGGTTTTCAATATTACCCCAAAAATTTCACCATAAACACCACAATGCCTGCACCACCATACTGGTGCATTACTTGAATAGTGATGCATAGGGAAAAGTCATCCACTGAATCCCAATACCTCTTCTTGTAGGTCTCCCTTGTAAATATGGTCTTAGTCCAACCCAGGAATCTGCATGAGAAATGATGGCACCATAGCACAAGGTGGTGCAGATGTTAACCAAAATCTCAAATAAATTGATTCTTGTTATAAATTCTGAATAAACTTTTATGTTACCAATGTGACCCTGTAAATTGCTGCTCGAACACCATATAGTGCTTATGACAGGTATTTCCGAAGTTTTTGGCAGTATTCACTGCCATATGTGCCACAATATCTCGGTATAAGAACATGAGCCAAGGATGGATTGGCAGCACTTTGAATTATTTTTGTTGGTACAAGTTACAAATTTAATGTCAGTTTAACATAGCTCACTTTACCGTAACAGATATGACAACGCAAGCATTTTTCAAAATCAAAGCAAAAATTCAAGGCAAGGCAGACTAAGTCAATTCCAAGCAGTCTGACCCTGAGAAAGTCTCCAAAGATATGCTCATTAAAGGAATGGGGGGTGAAGAGAAGCATTTTGAGTGCTGTGATATATGGGTTATTTTTCAAGCAGTTTGTTTATCTCTAGCTTACAAGTTAAGGTTGTTGGAAGATTAAAGCATGGCTCAGAGTACTGTCAGTTCTGCCCCAGCTAGTTAGATCATTGTATAACCATGTTTTCCTACTTTCCCAGGATCTCATAACAAGCCCTTATTTTTGAAGAAATAAAGATTCTTCTCTGGTGGTGGGGTGAGCCTCATGATTGTTCTCCTTGTTGTGAATTTTGCCTCTTTTACCAAGAGAAGCTCAAATGCAAAGCAATATTAAGGGAGCTCGTTTGCAGTGTTTTTTATCTTCAGAACAGAAAAGGAGACTTATTTACTTTGACCTGTGCTAAAATGAAAAAGAAAATGCCCATCATGTCTCTGCTGCACACCTGTTTTTGGGTTCTTTTTGCTCGTTTAGTTCATGGGCAGAGGTTCATATGCAGACGAAGAGCCTTCAGAGTAATTTAACACCACAGTGTCCGTCAGTGCTCCAATAAGCAGAATTTCTCATTCAAAACATTGTTGGATTAAAATCAGGAGAGACCTTATTTAAAAAAAAACAAAAAAAAAACCACCCACACACAACCCATACATTGAAAGAGAAATCAGCAACAGCTCTTACTGGGAAGGGAATATAATTGTCTTTTCAGAAATTTCCTTTTGCAGTGACTTTATGTTCACTCCTCATTCAAATTTGGCACTTCACACTCAAAGGCCAATGTTTCCCTACATGAATATGGACTGCAAAACTCCACACATTTCCACTGAGAGTTTCTGTCCAATTCTTCTTTTAAGGTGGGGGTGAGGGACAAATTTGCCCTTAAAAATGGCAAGAGGTTCAGCCCCTGAAAGCTGTTTGTCTTCCAAGATCTACATAGATTATGACGGAGTCTCATGATACAAGGACCTACCATTTGAAAGGACTGTGCCACCACACTGCCACAAAGTATCTCTCATTCTCCCAAAAGAAGGATTCAATGGTTAAGGCCCAAGACAATGGAGTTCAATTCCCTGCTCTCCCATGCACTTCTTGTGTGTGATCTTGAGCAAGTCACTTAGTCTCTCTATGCCTCAGTTCCCCATCTGTAAAATGGAGACTGTAGTTCTTCCCTACATCACAAGGGTGTTGGGAGGATAAATACATTAAAAAGATTGTGAAGCACTTTGAGATTTACTGATGAAACTGCCATGTACATTATTAACATTTATTAACAATTCCACGGTAGCCTGAAGATGTAGCATGTAGATGTGGTGTTTAGATGTTGCTTGTAATTATTAGAACTGGGAGCACTGGCTGTTGGGAGTCTGAAAGGACAGGAAACAGGAAGGAGGGGGAAGGAGTTGAGGAGGCTGAGTGACAGTTACAGAGGGTGCAGCAGCAGCTTAGTAAAGAGGTTTCTACTTTAAAAATAAAGTCCTGTGGAAGTTTGTTAGTACCTTGCCTGGTTGTTACAACAGTAGATAGGAAAAATGAGGTACAGGAAGGTGCCCACGGTACACACATGCAGTGAACCAGCTGTGACACTGGCAGACCAGGTGCCAGTTCTTGCCAAGGCTTTAGACCTCAGCTGAGTCTGACAAATTCATTGCTGAAAAGAGTGTTTCATCTTGTGCCAGATTTATGTTACTAATTTACCTAGGGCATTAGGTGATTAGGCTGAGGCTGCAGGATTTTTAGGGGAGGAGATGACAGAGCACACCAAGTGTTTATTATTTTACTAATAAAGCTTTAAAACTTAAAGTAACAGTATATTACTATGGTTAAGATGGGCATTGAGCTAATAATGTGTTTAGCCTTTATGAAATGCTTCTAAGTTACTGCATGAATTAATCTCACTTATAATTTCATCATCATATGCTATAAGGTAATATTTAAGTTTATGCTTTCTAAATGGAAAAAATGTTTGCTTTGAAACTGAATCCAAGCAGGAGGGATTGTCTCCTGCCCACCAAGAAGGCTCATCAAAACTAAATGAGCCATTTTGGGACATCATCATACAAAGACTTTGTTAATTGCCCCTTACACTCATGAAGAGGCCAGGGTCTGGTCTACACTATAGACCTATATCAATATAACTACGTTGCTTGGGTGTGAAAAATCCGCACCCCCGACTGATACAGTTATACTGACTTAACCCTCCATATAGGACATGCTATGTTGGCGGGGGAGCTTCTCCTGTCAATTTAGCTACTGCCTCTCAGGGAGGTGAATTAACAAAACCAACGGAAGAATTCTCCCCCATCAGTGTAGAGCATCTTCTCTAAAGCGCTACAGTGGCACAACTGCATCGGTGCAGCTGTGTTGATGCAGCAGTTTAAGGGTAGATATGCCCTACGTGGAAAAAAGCCTCATCCCATCAGCTTGAAGGAGGAAATAGCAGCTGATAAGAAACTTAAATCTTTTTTGCTGTTTGGACTCTCACAGGGTTGCAACTATGAAACAGAAGCAGAGATCTCCAGGGTCAACCTGGTTTAGCCTTAAAAGACATTCAGAGCTGACAGATTACTACAACTCTATCACCTTTAGAAACCATAGACTAACTCATAGGTTTATGTAGGTTTGCTTGCTTTAGCCTTATAACAACTCACTTCTTGTCTTGGCTAATAAATCCTTAGGTGGTTCACTATAGGACTGTCTAGAACCTTTGCCTATGGTGAGAGATGTAAGGTACAAATTGACCTGAGGTAAGTGACCCGTCTCTTGGGACTGGGAGCAACCTGAATATTTTGTGATCTTTACTGTATAGCAACCATCTATCATTAAGTTCATCTTGCTGGGTGGCAATATGGACTGGAATGTCCAAGGGGATTGTCTGTAACTCCCTCCGCAATAAAACTGTTACAGTGCTTTAGGAGTTGACACTTGTTACTGGTGTGATGGTTGGAACCCCATTCTGGGGTCCCACTGACCCCACCATCTTGGGTTCCCCTTACTCTGTGCTGCTGTGACAGGCTCTTAAGCCCCCTTCTAGCGCGCACACACACACACTTACTTAGGGACACACCCAGCTATAGAATCACACAGAGTCTGCAATCAGCCCTGTGTGGGAGGACTCAGCTTGGAGATTGCCCAGCACTCAAGTGCACCCACCCTCTGAAGCGTAAACCCAAAATTATATTGTCTTGGGTTGTATAGAGATCTATACAGTGTAAGCTCATGACATTTGCCCTTCTCCCTCACTGTGGAAGAAGATATGCGCAGATTTTTGCCCCCCCCCACCCAGTTATGAATTGCACAAACTGGGTTTTAGAACAAACAAAAAACAAGTTTACAAAAGGTAAATTTTAAGTGATGATAAGGGATAGCAAACAGAACAAAGCAGATTACTCAGCAAATAAAAAAACCACACACACAAACTAGGCTTAATACATTAAAGAAATTTGTTTCAAATAGTAATTTCTCAGCCTAAATGTTGTTTTATGCAGGTTACAGAGTTTCTTGAAGGTAAACTGCACCACTTGCAGCTTAAATCTCTAGGTAAACCCTTCACAAGCTGACCTTTCTTGCCTGGGCTCAACCCCTGCCTCCCCGATCTTAGTTCCTTTGTTTCTTCAGGTGTTTTCAGCAGTCTTCTTTCTTGGGTGTGGAGGCATGGAGAAGAGCCATGATTAACTCATTCCACAGCCTTAAACAGGATTTACATATGGCAGGAATTCTTTGTTTCCTGGTTTGACCCACATCCCCTTCCAATGGAAAAATACCAGAAGTCCAAAATGATGTCCAGTACCAGGTGACAGGATCACTTGACCCTGCAGTGTCAAAGCAGCATACCAGGAAATTTCTCAGGAGAGAGGGAGGGAGGGAGATTAGTATCTTCAAATTCCTATTGTCCTTCCTTATGGCCCATGCAAGCTGTTTGCCTGCTATCTGGTGGGTGTTCCCCAGCTGCAAGCACTTTTGTAATCGCTACATAGTCCTAGGGTGACCAGATGTCCCGATTTTATAGGGACAGTCCTGATATTTGGGTTTTTTCTTATATTGGCTCCTATTACCTCCCATCCCCGTCCCGATTTTTCATACTTGCTATCTGGTCACCCTACATAGTCCATATTCCTAACTTTAGATACAGAAATGATACATGTATAGAAACAGGATAATCACATTCAGTAAATCATAACCTTTCTAATGATATCTCACATGACCCATCTTGCATAAAACATTAGTTATGCCATATTCACATCCTAACAATATTTCTATGAAGACTATGGGGTATAATGTCACAAATGCATTGGTGAAATTTAATTATAGAACATACC